GCCCCCGGGGGGCCCCCGGGGCTGCTGGGTTTGGGGTTGCGGGAGCCTGCGCAGCACCCTCTGCCCGAAGGCAATGAGCACTAGAGGGCAGCAAGCCGCAGCGCTGGGCTGGCGGCATTAAAATCATATTAAATAATAATTAAAAAAATAATAAATAAATGGATGGACAGCTGGGAGAAGGGTGGGTTTGAGTCCCTCCTCCTCCGGCAAGCGAGTCTCCCCCCCTTCCCCAAACGTACAAAATATATTTTAACTATCTGAGGTAAATAACGAGGCTGTAAAAAAAGCAAGAGGGGAGCGAACGTTCCTGGTATCACCCCCCTTTAAAAAAATAAAGCATCATAAATAGTTGTAAAGAAAATATGAGGATCTCCCCCCTCTCTCACACACGCGCACGCATAAATATAGATTATATTATGGATAAAAAATATGTTTTTCTCTCCTGTAAATTCAAAAAGTGGAAAAATAGAGGAAGAGAAGGGGTAGTGCCCAAAAGGACGGGGCTGGGAAGAGCTGCTTGATTCTGAGAGCTCCTGCGACGCGTCTCTGGGAATGAAAAGGGGGAAAAAAAAGAAAATCCCCCAACCGCAATCGGTAAGTGGAAGGTGCAGAGAGGCTGGGGAGGGGGACGCGCATCAGACGTCACTGGGGGAGCGGGACCGGAAAGGCATGGCGGAGGAGAAGCAGCCGCAGCACACGGTCCACAGCACTTTCTGGATCTCCTGGTTCCTGAAGGCGTAAATGACGGGGTTGATCATGGAGTTGTAGGTGGCGGGGAGGAGGGTGACGTAGGTGTAGAGGGCCGGGTAGCTGTAATCCCCCAGGAGACAGTAAATAGCGAAGGGCAGCCAGCACGAAGCGAAGGTGCCCAGGATGACGGCCAAGGTGGCGATGCCTTTTCGGGTGGTGACGTAGTGGGAACTGGCCAGGAAATGTCTCTGGACGGCGATCTGGTGGGCGTGCCGGCAGACAATCTTACAGATCTGCACGTAGAGCTGGAGCATCACCGCAAAGACCATGAAGAAGGAGACGGAGAGGATGATGAGGTGGTTCTTCGTCAGGGGCTTGACGATGCTGCAGGTGGAGGGCTCCTTCAGGCAGTTCCAGCCCATGATGGGCAGGAGCCCGTAGCAGATGGAGGCTCCCCAGGTGAGGATCAACATGATGTAAGTCCTGGTGACCGTCCTCTCTGAGTAGTAGGTGAGGGCGTTGTAGAGGGACAGGTAGCGGTCGATGGTGATGGTCAGCAAGCTGCTGACGCTGGCCGTGAAGGAGGTGACCAGGAGCCCCACCGTCAGCAGGCTGACCGCCTCTGATGGGATGAAGTAGACAAAGGCAAAATGCAGGATCAACCCCAAACCGGCCAGGAGGTCGGCTGTGGCCAAGCTGCCAATGAGGAGGAACATAGGAGCCCGGAAAGCCGGGGTGTAGCAGATGACCACCACCACAATGGCGTTCTCGCAGGAGATAATGGTCCCGGAGATGCAGAGGACGACGTCCCACGGGTTCAAGGCGAGGGGTTGCACCACGGACTCCAGGTCCAAGGAGCTGCTGCTGCCGTTCCTGGCGGCGAACCAGCCCTGCCGGCCCTGGCTGGGG